TATAGTTTGCATATTTATGGGTTGTAGCTACAATTTAAGCTATCTCGTTTGTATAATTCGCGGATTTGTATAAATTCATAGGTTTGTATAATTCGCCGGTACATTTGTATAATTCAATTATTTTTGTATAAATTCAAAATAACGAATATATACAATTACAAACATCAGAAGTGTAAACAGTTATACAAATTACGAATTATACAAAAGTTATACAAATTATATTATACAAAATCTGAATTATACAAACGTGCGAATTATACAAAACTAAAAAGTTGAGCTGCGTAATTATAGCTAAAAGTAGACCGCGAATTATAAATAAGGCAAACTATAGTTATGCTAAGTAATTAACTATTATATGTTTGCTTATATGCGTAATGTTCCCTAACAACAACTACCACAATTAGTGTCTTGAGTATGGAAGAAGAAAAGTGAAGTAGAAGGAAGAAGAAGTTAGGTAATCTTGATCCAATAGACATTTTGTTTAGTTTTCCGAAATAATTTCATATACTTAAGTAAGCTTTCGATATATTTACTCATCACAATTACTTCAAAGGATGAGAGTAGGCCTTTTGTAATTTGCGCAGTTTCTTGGACCACCAATTACAAGTCTTCAATATTACTTTATGTTCTCATTTTATATCCAAGTGGCATAGCTATATTGTCCTAACGATGGTTACTCAAACACCTTTTGTCAAAAAATTAAATTGTGCATATAAAAAATAATACTTATTTATAAATCAAAATCAACTTTTTAGAAATATATGCTAAAGTTTTAAATATCCTTAGTAAATTTTTTAATTTTACTGTCATTTTATTTCCGCGGATATATAGAAATTTATCATAATATTTTTTCCATCCGATAGCGTCTAAGAAAATTATTAGCAGCTTTATCCATATTTATCATCTAAAGGTCAAAGTGGATTTAGTCAATGATAATTTTGGGACAATATACATATAGGAAGTTGGACAAAAAACCCCATCAATTTTCATAAATTTAAGAAATTACAATTTCTTATTAAGGTCTAGTTTGACCTATAATGCTCCCAACAGAATTTTCTCCAAACCCAAGGCTCGAACCCGAGACCTTCAAATAAGGATGGCACAGTCTCATCACTGCACCACAACTCATGATGGTAACATTTAATGACTAGAGTATTTGTTTAATCTTTATGTTCCAATAATGCAGAGGAAATGTTGAAGTTTTCTACACAAATTTCTTTATTTAAGGCGACATATAATTCTATATAATATATTGATAATCAATTCTAGAAGATAAGATATGTAATATTTAAAAATTGGAGAAAGATTTTCTCTGATTTGTTTTATTGATCGTTATCAATGATATGAATAATTATACCAATAATGCTAAGTACGAACAAAATATAAAAATAAAAACTGATAATATATGAATAAGCATAACAATTATTGACTAATCTTTGGAATGTATATGTACTTTTCAATTACGAAAAAAAAAATGCACGCAGAGTTCAATTTTGCCTTTTAAAACTAAAAAAGAAAACTCTATCACGGATTAAGAAATGTTTTTCGAATAAAGTAGGTGAAAACACAACAATATTACTCATTTTTTCTAATTTATATGACTCATTTTTCTTTTTAGTAAGTATGAAAAATAATGATATATTTTTATATTTAATAATAATTTAATTATAAAATATATATTTTATTTGAAATGATTTATGATCATGCAAACATCAGTGACTTATTTTTAGACAATAAGTTTTTTTTTTTTAAAATTCTTAAACTTCTCACATAAATTCAAATGGAGAAAGTATTAATATATAGTTTAATACCACGTGCCACTTTATTTTCTGTCTAGCTAAAAGTATAAATAGAAGTTCTTGTTTCCATTTTCTCAATCATCAAAATTTGCAACAACAAATAATCAATTATGACTAAGTTAACAATCTTTCTCTTTCTCTCAATTTGCTTTTCATCATCATATTCATGGGCCTACAAAACTCATGGTGACTTTGTTGAATGTCTTTCTCACAAAATTATGAACTCAAATTCATCACAAGTCATCCACACTCCTAAAAACTCATCATATTCAACCATTTATAACTCCTTTTCAGATCATAACCTAAGGATAACCTCCAACTTCAAACCATCAATTATTTTCACTCCTATAAACGAATCTCAAATCCAGGTAGCTATACATTGCTCCAAGATACATGACCTACAAATAAGAATTCGAAGCGGTGGACATGACTATGAGGGACTTTCTTATATTTCGGACACCCCCTTCGTCGTAATTGATTTTAGAAACCTAAGATTAATCTCCATTGACACTGAAAACAAGACTGCTTGGATTCAAGCTGGCGCGACCCTAGGGGAAGTTTACTATAGAATCGCAGAAAACAGTAATAAATTGGCCTTTGTTGCTGGGGCTTGCCCTACTGTTGGTGTTGGTGGACACTTTAGTGGTGGAGGATATGGTATGATGTCACGGAAATTTGGTACTGCTGCTGATAACATCATTGATGCAAAATTAATCGATGCTAATGGACGAATTCAGGATCGAGAATCAATGGGTGAGGATCTCTTTTGGGCTATTAGAGGAGGTGGAGGGACTAGCTTTGGTCTTATTATATCATGGAAGGTGAAATTACTCGATATTCCTGAAAAGGTGACTGTGTTCAATGTGCCACGAACGTTAGAACAAAATGCAACTCAACTTGTTTACAAATGGCAACATATCGTTGACAAAGTTGATGACAATCTCCTCCTCAGGATCTTCCTAAGAAATACTGAATTTCCATTCGGGGGTGGGCAAAGGGCTATCTACGCCTCTTTCACTACAATGTTCGTTGGAGGAGGTGATGACCTCCTCCACGAAATGGAAGATAGGTTCCCGGAACTAGGGTTAGTGAAGGAAGATTGCATTGAGATGAGTTGGATCGAATCAATACTCTTCTTTGCCGGTTTCCCTAGGGGCACATCACTTGATGTGTTGCTAAATTGGAATACCACAACTAATCAAAGAGGATACTTCAAAGGGAAATCAGATTATGTCCAACAACCAATTTCTATAAATGGTCTTGAAGGTATGTGGAAACTACTCAACCAATTAGCAGTCGAAAACTCGGGGGCTGAATTACAGTTTAGTCCCTATGGAGGAAAGTTGAGTGACATCTCAGAATCTGAAATTCCTTTCCCTCATAGAGCTGGAAATATATTCATGATCGATTATGCGGTGTATTGGGGAAAAATTGAAGATTCTCAAAGAAATATAGCTTGGAGTCGAAAACTTTATGGATACATGGCTAAGTATGTATCAAAATCTCCTAGAGCTGCTTATTTCAACTATAGAGATCTTGATTTAGGATTCAACAATATTAATGGAAACACAAGCTATGAACAAGCAAAAATTTGGGGGGAGAAATACTTCAAGAACAACTTTGATAGATTAGTACAAGTGAAGACTAAGTTTGATCCAACAAATTTCTTTAGGAATGAACAAAGTATTCCTCCTCTATTATCTTAAGCTTAATTAACTTGTTTATTGGTGTTTGTGATTATTGTTCTTGAGTGTGTTCAACTTCTAGGTTATAATATATGGTAGTTAATTTATATATTATATAGTACTAAAAAATAGATGTAGCATTCAAAGATTGTGTAAGATATGTATTGTTTGATTTATGAATTTTTTTCAAGTAATAAATTTTCTATATATTAAATGTTCTTCATGTTAGAATTCGCGGACTTGTACATCAGTATGAGTTAATAAAAACTAACGCAACACTCGTCGGTCGTTTGGTAACTGGTTAATTAGAATTATGTAGGTATTAGTTATGTGAGTATTAGTTATATCATTTTATATATTTTGCAACTCTTTCTTTTTCCTACCCCCTACATAGAGAAAAAGTTCCGCCTTGTCCTTAGATAGAAGAAGAAGAGGAGAAGCAAGAATGGCAATAACCTAGGCTATTTCCGCTTCGGTCCGAGTAGGAATAAATTGACTAAGATACTCGGGTCAACAATCAAATCGGGTGTTGATTCTGTCCAAAATGTAGATTCGGAGCGTGACATATTTTGTAAGAAGACGGTCATAAGTTAATAAGTGTCTTATTGATACAAAACTAAATTCAATGATTTTGTTTAATAATTTTACATACTTAAACAACCTTTTGAAATCTTTACTCGTCACAATTATAAGAATTTAGACGTTTTAAATTCATTGTAGGAGAGTAGACTTTGTAATTTACTCAATGTCTTGAAAAATTACAAGTCTTCATTATTATTATACCTTCTCATTTTATACCTGTGGAGATATGTACAATATTTGTAGAGATTTATCATCATATTTTCCATCTGATAGCATCTATTATCCATATTTATCATCTAAAAGTCAAAGTGGATTTGGTCAATCATAGTTTTGAGACAATATACATAGAGGAAGTTTGATACAAAACCCCATCAATGTTCATATATTTATAGAAAATTAAAATTTCTTATTAAGGTCTAGTTCAACATCGAGTTTCTTTAGGTACGAAATCGTCTTTGTTAGAGAGTGTTTTGCCCCCGAATGTGGGACTTCTCAATGAAAATTTAAATTTAGTGAGACTCCAATGTGGATACCGAACACTACATAGAAAAAAAATGAAGTGGAAACGTTTAGTTTTCTACACAAATTTATTTATTAAGAGCGACATAGTTTAAGTGATAATATCCGTTGTAGTAGATATTCTATCTATTTGACTATGCAACTATATCAAAGGAAAAATATCTTGTCTAATTAGTTTTACCTTATCAATAATATAAATAATAATACTCGTGTTATGACCCTAAATTAAAAAATAAAAACAAATAATCCACGTTTGCCATGGGTATGGCATATTATTTAAAAAATGGATTGTTTGGTTGGAAACAAGTTATTCGGTATTATTAATTGGGAAAAGTCTCAAATATGCCATCTAATTTTCAGAAAAGACTCATTTATACCATCCGTTAAAAGTTTGGCTCATCTATGCCATTGTTGTTAAAGAAAAGGCTCATCTATGTCATTTTTTAACTCTGGTTTTGCAAACCACTTTTTACACCCCAAACAAGGTTTAACACTTTTCAATTGAAGTTTTTGGATCAAATGTACTTTTTTTGCTTTATCTTCCTTAAGAACACCAAGAATACATAAACAACATTAACAATTCCCAAATTTCAAACTTCTTTGATTCTTCACGAAATCACCTCAAATTTCAAGAGTAGTTTCCTTCCGAGCTAGATACCAAAACTCAATATTTTTTTATCGCGGATTCAACCTAACTCAACAAGATCCACTTGAAATTTCTTCAAAGTTTCTAAACTTCAACATTTTTTAATTGTAGATTTTTCTCCACAACTTCAAATCATTTGAAATTTTGAACATACACTCGAAAAACACTAGGTAACAAAGATCTAATGTCAAAAGACAACTTCAAAAACATGAACTAAAGCAAATTTTTGAAATTTTGGGACTGATTTTCATTTTTTTGAAATATTTTTTAATACGGATGAATTTTTTAAACACTACAAATGATTTTAGAATTTTAGTTTACTAAAAAAATTAATAATGTAGCCGAAATTTGAGATGATTTGGTGAAGAATTGAAGATATTGAAAATTTTGGAGTTGTTTATGTTCTTCATGTGTATTTGGTGTTCTTAAAGAAGAACAAACCATTACAACAAATGTGATATATAACTACAAAATTATTAGCTACGATATTCGTCATTAATTGTTCATTTTTAGTGACAAAAATTATATTTCGTGCCTAAATATATGAGACACATACTTTTAGTGACGAAACGTGAAGATTCGTAACAAAGTTTTGTCCACTAAAGTTTCACACCAAAAAATGGTTTGACACCATATATTGAGTACTATTAGTCACGAATTTAGAGTTATCACTAACACATTATTTTGTCACTAATGATGTTCCGATTTAGTGATAAAGCACTTTTTTTGGTCTTAAATTCAGTTAAATTTTGGATACGAAATTTTTTTGTCACAAAAAATAAATTGAGACATTAGTAACAAACCATTTTTGTCCTAAAATTAGTTAAATTTTGATTACGAAAAATTTTTGTCGCAAAAAATATATTGATACATTAGTGACGAATAATTTTTTATCCTAAAATTAGTTAAATTTTGGATACAAAAAATTTGTCGCAAAAATTATATTGATACATTTTCGACAAATAATTTTTTGTCCTAAAATTAGTTAAATTTTGGATACAAAAAATTTTTGTCGCAAAAAATATATTGATACATTAGTGAGGAATCATTTTTTATCCTAAAATTATTTAAATTTTGGATACAAAAAAAAATTATCGCAAAAATTATATTGATACATTTGCGACTTTGTATTTTATTGTGACATTTGTTTTTGTCACTAATAGTTCAAACAATTAGAGACAATTGTATTATTGTCTCTATTTAACCTACAATTTAGCCACAATGAAATTTTGTCACAAAAAATATATATTCAAATGGCTACAACCTAAATTTCATAGTTGAATAGTGCAATTATTGTCTATGAAAAAAAACCAATAGTTATAATTATAAGATCATTAATTTTAAACATATTTTTAACGAAACAATTTTTTTTAGAGAAATGACTAATGAAGCAAGATTTTAAAAGAAAAGGATGATATCAAATAAATAATTTCTTTCCCGCACAAAGAAATTCCTGCTAACCAAGAATTTGTCAACTCGTGCACTCTAGCTAGATAAAGCCTTATATATCGACGTCACTTGTGATCTCTGTAATATAATATAGTAGGGAGTGATTCGCTAGCTCAATCAATATTTACAATTAACCACAAATATTTATATTAATAAAAAAATATAATGAAAAAATGCCCTTTTCAGAAATGGTAACAATAATCAATCTTGTTTTGTTTCATGTAAGCAGAACTCAATTAACAATTCAATAATAAAATCGATAAATTAACTAAGAGTATGACTGAATTTTCAATGATCTCTGATCAACCCCCAGATTTACAACACTCCGTCAGATTCACTAATGTTTTAGTGTCACAATACCATTGTACACAATTAATTCAGAATGCAGAATTTCATTCTTCTTCTCTAATCAAGCTTTATGCTCTCATCATCAATGGAGGTTTCGTCTTCTCAAACCTCTCATCTTAACACCACCACTAAAGTGTCCACCAACACCAACATTGGGGCAAACCCCAGCAGGAAAGGCTAATTTTTTACTTTTTTGGGCGATTCTATAGTAAAGTTCCCCTATGGTCGCGCCAGCTTGAACCCAAGCAGTCTTTTTTTGGGTATCAATGGATATTGATCTTAGGTTTCTAAGATCAATTATGAAAAAAGGGGTCTCCGAAGTGTATGATAGTCCCTCATGGTCATGTCCACCACTTCGAATTCTAATTTGTAGGCCATGTATCTTGGAGCAACGTATAGCTGCCTTGATTTGAGATTCTTTGGTAGGAGTGAAAATAATTGATGGTTTGAAGTTGGAGGTTATCCTTTGATTATCTGAAAAAAAGGAGTTAAAAAGGGTGGAATATGATGAGTTTTCAGGAGTGTGGATGATTTGTGATGAGTTTGAGTTTATAATTTTGTGAGAAAGGCATTGAAGAAAGTCATCAATATGAATTTTGTTGGACCTTGAATATGATGATGAAAACCAAATTGAGAGAAAAACAAAGATTGTTAACTTAGTCATAATTGTTGGACTAAATGGAAACTAACAACTTGTATTTATAGTTTTAGCTTGGGAGAAAATACACGAATATTAGTTTTATTCACATGGAAGATGCAGGGGCTTCCTCATGGCTAACGTGGATTATTTGTTTTTATTCTTATTTTTCTTTTAGGGTCATAATTATTAATTATTTTTTTGTTTTCTACCCAGTTTTAGTGTCTGGTATTCACATTCTATTTTAGGGTCATAATTATTACTCCTTCTGCCCCATTTTATGTGAGGTAGTTTGACTCGACACAGAGTTATAGAAAGAAAGAAAGACTTTTAAATCTTGTGGTCCAAAATGAATGATAGAAATTTGTGTGTGTGTAAATCATTTCATTAAGGGTAAAATAAATATGTTATAGTTAAATTGTTACTTAATATAGAAATGTGTTATTATTTTTGGAACTGACTAAAAATAAAAGTAAGTCACATGGGATAGAGGGTGTATTATTTTTTTTGTTTTCTACCCAGTTTTAGTGTCTGATATTCACATTCTATTTGCTCTTGAAAATTACTTTGTGTCACTAAGTCCAAAGAAATTTTATCTTTGAATTTCTTATACTATTAATATATTATCGCACTCGTTCTATGTTGTATCATGTTAAACATGAGGAAGTATGTGCATCTTTTATTTATTCTGGTAACCCGATTCTTATTACCGAGGCATCTGATTAAGTGTGGAGGGATCTCAACTATCCCACTAAACAACCTTTTTATTTATTATCATTGATGACATAACTTTAACTTTAATAACCATTTGATATTTGATTCCATTGGAGTATATATATACTC